GCTATGATCTATGAGGTCACAAAGAGTTGGACATGACTGAACAACAATATGGTGAGAGGTGATGGGGGTATGGACTAAAGTGGTGGTCCTGTGAGTGGGGAGAAGGAGATTAGATGGTCTCTAAGGTCCATGGGATCTCTGAAACCAAATGCAGGAGAAGTCATAAATACATGTTTTCATATGTGTAAATTTTTTTTTAAAAAGAGTGGGTGACTCCGGCAGGATGGAAAGAAAACTGTTCTGGTTGGAAAGAAAACTGTTCTACTTGTGACCTACTTTTTTTCCAGTTTATTTAGTATATTACTGTGCCATGGAAAACATGTTAGAAAGATTGGCAATGGCTTCATGAATAAAGTCTAATTTGCAAAAAAAAAAAAATAGCCAACAAGTGAATGGAAAGTGCACGGAGCTCTGTTGAGGATGCCAAGAGTTGTGGAAAGACTCCTTCTCTGGTCCCTCATCTCCTGCAGTACCTTGCAAAATACAACTATATTACCTGCCAGCTTGTGGTCCACTGGGATTTCCAAGGCCTTTTCTCTCGTGTACTTAAGAGTTTTTCCCACCTTAAAGCTATAGGATTGGGTCATTTTGTTCCCTGAGTGGCCATATTTTTAGAAATGATTCATGGGCCTTCAGTATGAACCATAAAAACCTATTGGCTGCTGCTTATGGGAAAAGGATATCCTCTCCAAAGAACTGAAAATTTAATTTTTTTTTCCTTTTTAATAACAGCTCATCCTGGGCTCTTAAAGTAACTAGGCTACTGAGTTTTTGCTGGCTTGTGTAATTACATAGAATTTTTGAAACTGTCAGCCTGAAAAAATTTTCCCTAGGCCTTCATCTCAACAACTACATGACTACACATGTATCAGGGAAGAGAATGAGGAAGACAAAGTGCTGTAGGGGACATTTTTTTACTTCATTCCAAATCCTTGCTTGTCAATGGCCTCATTTTCTTTCAGAGCTGAAGGCTGCATGGCCAGTACACATGACGGTCACTGCTCTTAAAAATATCTCACTGGCTAGTAGTTCTGCATTATTAGTTCATTCCCAGTATAATGCTACCTTTCTTTTAGGTGGCATAGTGGGTAGAGTGCCAGGCTTGGAGTCAGGAAGCCCTCAGTTTAAATCTGGCCTCAGACACTTACTAGCTCTGGAACCCTGGACAAGCCACTTAACCTCTGTCTGGCTCAATTTCCTCAACTGAAAATGGTGATAATAATAGCCCCTATCTCCCAGAGTTGTTGTAAGGACAAAATGAGATAATTTTTGTAAAGTGCTTAGCCCAGGACCTGGCACATAGCAAGCGCTATAAAAATATTGGCTATTATAATTATCATTATTATTATTATTATTATACTTTTATTCTTCAGTGGACCGATTATTTCTTCAGTATGGGTACTTGCCCACATCTTGTCATCATGTGTTCACATTGGACTATACCTGATTAGAGCATACATTTAGAACTGGATGGGTCCTTACATGTCATCAAGTCCAAATCTTTTATTTTACAGATGAGGAAACTGAGGCACGATGAGATTAAGTGACTTGCCCAGGGCAATACAACTTGTAAGTATGTGAGGCAAGATCTGAACTCAGGTGTACCTAACTCCTAGTTCAGAGTTCTATCCACTACTCTGTGGTGTCTCCCCCACTAAAGATCCACCTGATATTTTGGAGGTCTTTCTAGGTCATTTTACCTTCCATGGATACCATTGAAACATTCAGTCTGCCCAACTATCTTCTCTTGTTCTCACTAAATGACTGAACTGCCTTCTTTTCTAATATGCATTTCCTGGATGACATCCCTTAAGCCATTTTTTTCTTTAAAAGAAATAGCTTTTCTTGTGGACAACATTACTACTAAACACAAACATTTCAAAATACAAAGGGGAAAAGAGGATTTTATAAGAAATGGTGCTGATTGTTTTCTTTTCCCGATAGATAAATGGTCAAAGGATATGAACAAGCAACTTACAAAGGAAAGAATCCAAGATGTCCACAACTGTAAGGAAAAAAAATGCTCCAAATCATTAATAATTAGAGGAATGCAAATTACGATAACTTTGAGGTCCTACCTCGTACCCATCAGATTGGCCAAGATTAATAAAGAGGAAAATATAAATGATGGAGGGGTTGTAGGAAAATGGGTTCACTGTGCACTGTTGGTGGAGCTGTGATTTGCCTAGCCATGTTGGAAAGCAATTTGGAACTATGTCCCCAGAGTTACTAACCTATGTATACCTTTTGATTCAGCAATACCACTTACTTAGGCCTATATCCCCCAAAAACAAAGAAAAAATAACTAGATGTACAAAAATATTCATAGCAGCTCTTTTTGTGGTAGCTAAAAATTGGAAACCAAGAGGGTAAACTCCTTTTAGGGAATGGCTAAACAAACTGTGGCATATGAATATAATGTAATATTATTGTGCCATTAGAAATAGTGAAATAGACAATTTCAGAGGAAATTGGGAAGAGCTCTGCAAACTGATTCAGAGCGAAGAAAGTGAGCAGAACTAGTAGCTCTATCCAGATAATGATAACAACATTACAGAGAAAAACAACTTGATAGCAATATAAAATTTATAATTATATTTATATGTTTATTATATGTATATTTTAAGAAAGCAAGGGAGGTAATGACACTAAATGATTACTAAGCTGCTTACTAGCTCTAAATTCTATGATCATTTAAATATTTGTAAATGAACTCATTTTTTTTCTTTGAAATATACTTTGGCTCATACCATTCCTGGGTGATACTCAAGAATCCACAGGAATTCAACCTCTTTCCAAATTCTAGGGAACTGTTGGATATTTGTCCTGCCTGCTAATTACCTCATCCCTAATGGTTCTACAGGGGCAGCTAGGTGGCACAATTGGGGCAGCTAGAAGGAGGACCTGAGTTCAAATCCGACCTCAGACACATAATATTCACTAGCTGTGTGACTCTGGGCAAGCCACTTAACCCTAATTGCCTTGAAGAAATAAAGAAAGAAAGGAAGGAAGGAAGGAAGGAAGAAAGAAAGAAAGAAAGAAAGAAAGAAAGAAAGAAAGAAAGAAAGAAAGAAAGAAAGAAAGAAAGGAAGGAAGGAAGGAAGGAAGGAAGGAAGGAACGAAGGAAGGAAGGAAGGAAGGAAGGAAGGAAGGAAGGAAGGAAGGAAGGAAGGAAGGAAGGAAGGAAGGAAGGAAGGAAGGAAGGAAGGAAGGAAGGAAGGAAGAAGCCTAATGGTTCTACAAATCGGAAGGGTACATTTTATCCAGGTGCCAAGCTTCCTTGGGTCATTTATAGCATTACACTACACTTCACTGTCTCCTCCTTACTCTCACTGTCATCAGTCTCTGGCTTCAGGCCTCACAGGTGAGGCCTGGGAAGAGGAGGTCCCTGGAGGAAGTGGCTATCTGAACCTCACTGCTCCTTCCTCAAAATATTTACCTTCTCAGAGAATGCTCTCCCAGATACACTTAAAGTGGGAGTCAGAGTGACCTGACACTAATCTCAGGACTTCTTGAGGCAAGATTTTGAGTCAGAAGATCCAGGTTCAAATCTTATCTCCCACCTTCCACCTCCTTCCTCTGCAAGTCACTTCATTTACAGGTCTCAGTTTTCTAATCTATAAAAGGGGGAGGAAGTTGAAGTAAAGATACCCTTATCACTATTATTATTCAATAGTGTGCTAGAATTTATAGCTATAGAAATAATGAAAGGAAAAGAAATTGAAGGAATAAGCAGAGGCAAAGAAGAAATAAAACTACCACTTATCACAGATGATGTGATGCTTTACCTAGAGAACCTTGCAAAGTCAACAACAACAACAAAACCTAACTGAAACAATTAACAACTTTGGCAAAGTAACAGAAATAACATAAATCCACACAAATCATCAGCATTTCTGTATATGAGCAATAAAATCCAGTAGGAAAAGATAGAAAGAGAAACATCATTGAACATAACCACAATATAAAATACTCAAAATGGGTACATGATGTAGACATAAAGAATGATTTAAGAAAATTAGTGGACCAGAGAAGAAATTATGTCATATCTGTGTAAAATTGATAATTTTGATTAGATTTGATTAAAAGGTTTTGTACAAATAAAATAAATGTAGCCAAGATCGAAAGGAAAGCAGAAAATGGGGGGGGGGATTTCACAGAGTTTCTCAGATAAAAGTCTCATATCTCAAATATGCAAAGAACTACATAAAATCTATAAGAATGAGTCATTCCCCAACTGATAAATGGTCAAAGGATATGAACAGGCAGTTTTCCAATGAAGAAATCAAAACTATATGAAAAGATACTCTAAATCATTATTTATTAGAGAAATGCAAATTAAAACAACATTGAGATATTATTTTACACATATCAGATTGGCTAACATTATTGAAGGTGAAACAGATAAATGTTGGAGGGAATGTGGAAAAAATTGGGATACTAATTCACTGTTGGAATTGTGAACTGATATAACCATTTTGGAGAGCAATCTGGAATTACGCCCAAAGAGTTATTAAATTGTCTATGCCCTTTGACCCAGAAATACCCCTATTAGGTTTATTTCCAAAAATTATTAGGGAAAAAAGAAAAGAACCTACATGTTCAAAAATATTTATAGCAGCTTTCTTTGTGGTAGTAAAGAACTGGAAATTGTGGGGCTGCCTGTCAATTGGGGAATAACTGAACAAGTCATGGTATATGTTTGTGATGGAATACTATTGTGCTATAAGGAATGATGAGCTTCTTAATCTTAGAAAAACACAGATAGACTTTCAAGAAATAATGAAGAGTGAAATGAGCAGAACCAAGAGAATGTTGTATACAGTAACAGCAATATTGTTTTTAAGAACAACTTTGAATGACTAAGTCATTTTGACTATTATAAATGCCCAAATTCACTATAAAGGACATATGAAGGAAGACACTATTTGAATGCAGAGAAAGAATTGACAAATAGAAGTATGTATAGAATGATTTTACATATATACATACATACATACCTGTATATGTGTATGTCTAACGGTAGCTTTCTCTAGGGCAGGGGGAGGGAAGAAAGAAAAAAAGAAATTTACATAACTTTATTATATATTTAGAAGGAATAGCAAGTTGTACATAATAGGTTTGCAGTTTCATGTGCAATCATCTTTTTATTATACTATGTTATGGAAACACTTGTTTTATTCCATAAATTAAAATTGAAATAAATAAAACTTTTAAAAATTGACTACGTAAAATTGAAAAATTTTGTACTAACAAAAATCAACACAACTAAAATTAGAAGAAAATCAGGAAACTGGGAGGAAATTCTTTGTAGTAAGTTTCTCTGATAAAGGTCTCACTTACAAAATATGTAGGAAACTGAATAAATTTATGAGAATAAGAGCCAGTCCCCAATTGATAAGTGGTCAAAGGATATAAATAAGCAGTTTTCAGAGGGAGAAATCAAAGCTATCAATAGCCATATAAAAATGCTCTTTAAAAATCACTACCGATTGGAGAAACACAAAGTAAAACAACCCTAAAGCACCACCTTACAGCCATCAGATTGGCTAGGATGACAGAGAAAGAAAATGAGAAATGCTGAAAGGGATTTGGGAAAAAAGACATGCTAATGCATTGTTGATAGAGCTGTGAACCAGTATGCTCATTCTAGAAAGCAATTTAGTACTATGCCCAAAAGGCTATAAACAGTGCATACTCAGCAATTATCAGGACTTTATCTAAGATGATAAAAAAGAGGGAAAGTCTCCATATGTACAATAATATCCATAGTAATTCTTTTTGTGGTGGCAAAGAATTGGAAACTGAGGAGATGTCCATCAATTGGTGAATGTCTAAACAAGTTATGGTCTATAATTATGAAGGAACACTATTGTGCCATAAGAAATGGTGAGGAGACAGTTTCAGAAAAATCTGGGAAGACCTAAAACAGGTGCAAAGTTAAGTAAAAAGAACCACTAGAACAGTCTACATAGTAAAAACATTATAAAGATAATCAACTTTGAAAGCCTTAGTAACTCTAATCAGCACCATGATCACCACAATTCCAAATGACTCATGATGAAAAATATTATCCACCTCCAGCTAGAGAGCCGGTGAACTCAAAGTACAAGTGGGGGAAGGTTTAGATTTTTCCCTTTCTTTCTTTTTCTTAACATAGCTAATCAGGAAATTTGTTTTGCATGACTATGCATATTTGTAATAGATTTTGTTCTTCTTTCCTTCTCATTGGGTGGGTCAGGGAGAGAAGGCAGAATAGAATTTGAAACTGGGGGGAAAAAAGATTTTAAAAGTCTCTTTATTTTAAAAAATAAATAAAATTTTAATTTTTTTTTAATGAGAAGGGAAAAGAAGTACTAAGTCAACCCCCTAAAGTCCTGTGTGATTAAGCAAAAACCTCAGTGCTTATCAAAGTCGTATCTATTGAGAATCAGCATTCTGCTATGGGGGAGGGCCAAAGAAGTCTGGTATGGTGAAAAGTCAATGCTCTTTCACTGCACCATGCTGTAGACCAAGGAAAATTGGATACAAAATAATCCATATATTTCAGTCCAGAATATAGGCATGAGAGACTCCAGAAAGTCTTTGTCAAAAGCTGGAGAGAAGAAATAAGGAAAAGATAAGATTCTAAGGGAGAATTAGGAAGATGCCCTTCCATTGGTGAGGGAAGTGGTTAGTCTTCACAGTAGTAGAAGCCACAAAGGTGTGTATTTGGCACCCAAGAGAAAAGGATCTTACTTCTCCAAAAGCAGAAAGAACCAAAGACAGCACCTTGAGCTGTGATTGGAACATGGAAGTAGGATGAGCTAGCCCTGAGCATCTCTAACCCTAAGGGTGAGGTACTAGTAGGAAGTAAAAACCAGGAGCAGTTAGATGGGATTTTTTTTAATGGTCACTTATGTCAAGCTGGCAGAGCAAAACGAACTATATTTGAACTATGTCTCAGCAAGCCCTTTGGGCCAAAAAAGTCATTAAAATTTAAGTCTCTTGAGGGGCAGAGTTGTTGGGGAGTGGCAGTGGGGTGCAGTGGTAAGAGCACTGAACAGTGCTGTTTACCAAAATTCCTTCTCACTAGAGTTAGGTTTAACTATACATTTAGACCAACTGTGTGCAATGCAGTACAATGCACCAAGTGGGACAAAGAGATCCCATCTGGAAGAAGTTGGAGGAGGACAGGAGAGGCATCTAGGTAAGAAAATTGCCTGCTTTTTACCCTTGGATGGTGGTAGTGAAGGATGAATGCACCATAGATCTATAGCATGGGAAGCTGTCCACCTTTTCATAATAGTCCAGATGATAAATCCCTTATTTAATACTTCTAGACTTGATTTAATAACTGAAGAAGAGATAACCATTTTCATTAACATTTCCTAAGTCATCATTATTCCTGGTGACAAAAAATAAGTTATTATCTGCTTCTAAATGGGATGCAAAGAGAAGCCACATGTGAAATTGATTTTCTTTTTCCACCTGAAAGCAAGTTTGAGTGGTGTGAGTTGAACTGCACACACACACAAAAATGTATTAAGCAAACTTTAAACAAGACATCTGCTTCTACGGCCTTTAGTTCTTCCTCAGAAGTTTTCCTATCATACATGAGTCACACTGGCTGGCCATGTGTTCATTTTCTGATTTCACAAGCTCTTCATCCCTATGGTAGAAACCAATGAATCACCTGAAGCAGATTTGACATTTCAAGAACTTGTAAAATCTATTCACTGGTCAGCTTCTCTCTGAAGATCAGGCAGCTAAGTATCTCAGTGGAGAGAGTGCTGGTTCTGGCTTCAGGCTGAGTAAAAATCCAGCCTCAGATACTACCTGAGTGACCCTAGGCAAGTCATTTAACCCTTGTTGCTTCAGTTTTCTCATCTGTAAAATGGGGACAATAATAGCACCTACTTTCCAGGGTTGTTGTGAGGATCAAATGAGTTAATAACTGTAAACAGTTTAGCACAGAGCTTGATACAATAAATGCTATATAAATGTTAGCTATTATTATTTTAATCATAAAGCTTTGAAAATCTCAATATACTTTCCAAGGCATAGGAATCTATTGGCCAAAAGTAATTTGAAGAAAGCTAGGTCACATTGCAGAACAATTTTCCTTCCACTCTACTTGATTTATCTATCTTCTTTAATCTGCTTATCTATCTATCTATCTATCTATCTATTTATATGTAAATTTGCATTCTAGCATTATGCTTTTCTATTTTATTCATAGACGTAGTATTTTAGACCCAAAGGAAACTTTAGATTTCATCTAATACAAGCCACTCACTTTCCAGATAAGGAAACTGAGATCCAGGTTGGTTAATTGGCTTAGGAAACGGCACCTACCTAGAATTCACAGCTGGTTCTGCTCTTAGCTCTGTGCTCTTGTCTCTTCTCAATAACTCTGCTTCTCAAGAAATTCTCATTTTAATAAGAATGTTATGGCCCAAATTCTAGTGTTCAAAGACCCTTCCCCTTACTATACAACCTCAAACCAAAGTTGGCATTTGGTAGCTCACTTCAGGTGCCTATTGACGGGCTGTTATATTCTGTTAAGTATAAACAAGTTTCAACAAGAAGGAAGTGAATATTTAATCAATATACCTTGGCTAGAGTTCAGAGCTGTCATTCCTGAGACTTGATATCTGGGAAGGAAATGGATACAACGGAAAGGAGATAGTACTTCATCGACAAGCAGAACAACAGAGGCAGAAGCAACGGTGTCAGAGAGAGTTGTCTGCATATCTGATGGGAGGGTTGATGAATGTCAGCTGAGGACATTATGGTACCATATACATTTACTATATGCTTCCTAACAAGCAACAATGGGTGGTAGCAGCCTAGCTTTATGACCAGAGGGTGCTATGTTAAACTTAATATTTAAGAGCATCCCCTCCCAAAAAAAAAATAACTAAAGAGACCCAGAATCGTGCAAAGCTCTCATTTGCACATAAAGAGTAAATAGATTGGGAGACAAATGAGGAGGCTCACTGCCCCACCTAGACAAAATCTGTTTACACCTGTCAATAGCTGGTTCTTGGGGACATCACACAGTCTGCCTTGCCAGTCTCTGAAAATGAGGTTTGTTGCAACCCACTATTGTTAGTTTGGATTGATTTGCTGTTGGGTTGGTGTTGGTGTTGTTGTTTTTAAGCATCTCCTTTGGGTTGACAAGTACTTGCAGGTCAAGTCCAAACATGAATACATACACAACCCTTATATTTGTAGTTTGTTGCTAAATACTACTTGCAGCTTCTATAGGAAAGTTGGATGACATCAACTGATTTTCTGTCACCTTTGTCCCAGATAGTCTGAATTCTCACAAGGGTAGATTCACCCTACAACCTTATCATCATGGCTCATGTAGCAACAATTTAACAAACATTTATTAAGAGAAACTTTGAAAGATTTTTACTATCTCCTATAGATGTTTTATGATCTTGCCTGAGCAAAAAAAAAAAAAGGTGTTGAAGTGACAGGGGGTAAACATACCTCAAGAGATTTATAGTTGTCAGCTTCTGGTAAAGGAAATGTGCTGCTATATCCTATTGAGTGTACATCTGACACAGACAAGTCTCTTTCTCGTATAGATGCCCTGGAATGATTCTCCTCTCCAAGTGTATGTAGGAACACTGGAAATCCTAAGAAAGGATTTAGTTTACAAAATCTCTCATTTCCAGCTCTGTAGCTCAAAAGTGATTACTATCCTGTGCCTTTGATGTTTATTCAAACTCTACTTGCACATTTCGGAATGATTTTCTGGTCATTGATTTATGTCTTTATAGGAGCTTATACACACATAAACTAACAGTGCCTGTCATCTCACTCTCTCTCTCTCTCTCTCTCTCTCTCTCTCTCTCTCTCTCTCTCTCTCTCTCTCTCTCTCTCTCTCTCTCTCTCTTTCTCTCTCTCTCTTTCTCTCTCTCTGTCACACACACACACACACACACACACACACACACTGTCTCTTTCTCCTCTCCTTAAAACAGGCAATTAATCATTTTCTCCCCCAAGACCAGATTTTACAATCGGAAGCCAATTGTCAGCATACTTATTCCTAAATAAACAGACACACATACCAGCTAATAGATTATTTCACATGGAGAAGGCATCGTGGGAAGAGAAGCTGTGTCTCCTGCTTTCCCAGGCAGGTGTTCTGCCTGCTAAAATAAAGATTGGTTCCATTGGCTCAAATCTCTCAGGCAAAGTGCCCAAAATTGCTTACAATTTCTAATATAACTGGTACTTTAGATAGTTCTGCAAACTGAGAGCCTCATTTATACAATGTAACTCAAGAATTTGTTCCAGAGAAGCTGTTTCTAGCTTCTTTGTCTCTTTGATGACTTTGATTTAAAAAAAAAAAAAAGATGGAACCAGGGCAGTATTTCATGGCTTGAGGTTTACTGATTGTCATCTTCAGCAGTTCCTCGGACTGTTCTTGTAGATGGGTGAAAATTGCGCTCCTAATTTTTGCTGTTGAAGAAACTGAAACACATGGAGGTTACGTGACTGTGGTCTATAATGGAAAAGAAAATCAAACAGACCAAGCGTTAGGTCTCAGACTCATCATCTCCTTTCCTTCCTTCCCCTCTTTTCTGCACTGTGTTTTCTCATCTATTAAAAGGCATTTGTACCATGCAGTTATCACACTTCAGAATACAAAATCTTATTACTGATCAAACCTTATTATTGAGGTTGAGTGGGATTGGACCTTCCATTCTCTCAATGAATGAGGAAACTTAATGTCAATTTATCACATTAGATTTCCTCTCCCTATGAAAAACAACAGTCTTGGATTCCGGAAGTCCTGGTTTCAAGTCTTCCCTCTGACACCTACTAGGTTTGTGACCAGGGATAAGTCACAACCTCTCAATGACTCAAGAAACTCTCTGAGACTATAATTCACCAATGATTGACACTCCATCGGTAAAAGGAGTTGCCACACTAATGAATTCCCAGGTCTGGACCAAAAAAGAAAGCTAAAGATAGGGGGAGAATGAAAAAGGAGGAGGCGTTGTCATCTGTAGCTCGTGAAATAGATGTCAAAAGCTGAACTGCAATAAACTGTCAGACCTGGTTGATGAGTTAGTTAGTTTTGCTGAACTGCTGATTTTTTAGTCTTTGTTACAAGAGATGGTTCTTGGAGAGAGAGTGGGGGAAGGGATATATCTGGAAATGAAGATGCTATAAAAACAAAAGATATGAATAATTTTTTTCTAAATAAACCTGCCTGTGGTGGGATGATATACTTACTTTGTGTTTGCAGAAGCAGCAGTCATTATTGCAGCTGATATTTGCAAACATATTTAAAGTAAAGGTGTCAAGTGAACCTGCAATAAAGAAAAAAGAGAAACCGAACTCTTTCCCTCTTATTCTATCCTTGTCGTGTAGATTGAAAGAGGCCTGTGTCCTTTCAGGACCATTACTGAAGAGGACATTTAGACTGAAATGCACCAGCTGCTGGGGATCTTGCCATCAGAGGAATACAAAATCTTTACATTGAGGGGTCTGATACCCAAGCAAATCCTTAAGCACCCAAAGCACCTTGGCTGTCCTGTGGTGCCAATGAAACAAACTCTTTGGCTTTACCTAGTTCTCCATTGTCCTCCTGCAGTAATTCCATCTGCTTTCAAAGGCTCTGCTCCTATTGTTCTCAAATCTGCAGCACCACCACCAAAGAGAGAGCGAGAGCGAGAGCGAGGGAGCGAGAGAGAGCGAGAGCGAGAGAGAGAGAGCGAGAGAGAGAGCGAGAGAGAGAGCGAGAGAGAGAGCGAGAGAGAGAGAGAGAGAGAGAGAGAGAGAGAGAGAGAGAGAGAGAGGGGGGGGGAGAGAGAGAGAGAGAGGGAGGGAGAGAGAGAGAGAGAGAGGGAGGGAGGGAGGGAGGGAGGAAGGATTAGGCTCATCCTGGCTGGCTGCTCTGTTGTTGGGCACCTTAAGGAAGAATAAATTATTTCACTTCCCTTCCGTAATTGGAGCAAAGCCCTCCCTGCTGAGGAGATGGTCCTATTCCATAGCCTGGCTCTTCCACAGGGTCAGATTTTTGGAACAATAATACAACTGTGTGAACTGCATGGGAAACTATCTCTTGCTGGGATTTGGAGCACACCCTCCTACAAACCCAGACATGTACAAAAGTTCAGCATTTCACTGCAGGAAGTGAGACCAGTGACTGTAGGCATCATTAATCATGTTGAAGCAATTATTCTTTGAAAAAAAATTGGTGGGGATATATCTTTGGTGAAGTCATGCCCAATCAAAACAAGCAATTCTTTCAAAAAAAATTTTTTTTAAAATACACATTCTCCTGATCTATTGGAAAGCCCCACTTACTCTTTGCCCTAGCAAGAGCTGTCAAGAGAAAGATGTCTTCTAAGTAGCTAGAAGCAAAACAAGGAACCAGTTTCCTCATTAACTAAAGGTCAGGAAAATACTTTGAGACTGTGAATTATCAGACAAAGTACTTTACAAAGGGATTAAGATGATGGATCACAATTTCCCTTCTCCCTACCTGCCTAGGTCTATAGAAGTTTAAAAAAAATCATTTGGGTTTTTGCAAATTTCTGATTAAAAAAAAACCCTTCATTTTCTATGGAAAACCCAAAAAGCTATCTTCAGTCATCCTATTTTGCTTCATTGTTCTGCCAGAAGAAGAATGTGGGCAATTACTTCCCAACCAAATGGAGTCAATTCATGAGCTAATGAGACAAGAGGAAGCCTTCATTCACCCCCTAGGTAGGGCCAGATGGCACATCCCTGTAGAGAGCACAGTTCAGCTATTAGTTCCTCTAATCCTACCTTTAGAGTGGCAAGTCCTCTCTGGCCAAGTCTTTCAAAAGCTGAGACATTTTGCCTTCCTTGGGGTTATGAAAACCAGTACTTGTAAAAATGAAGCCTTAACTCCATTTTTAAATTTGGGTCTGGCCCAGCAGTTTCCTAGATGTCAGGTGACTTAGCATGCTAGAGCAAGGGCTCTTCAGCTATTCTGTGACCTGGCCCTCTTTGGCATAAAGCCCATGGTCCCGTCTCAGAATAATGGTTTTAAATATATAGGGATACTAAAGAAACCAATTGCATTGAAATGCAGTTATTGAAATATTATTTTTTTAAAAGTTTATGGACTCCAGGTTAAGAATCTGTTTCCTAGAGTGTTGCCTGTAAATATTATCATCCAGTGGCATTTAACTCAAATAGAAAGGAGTTGGGTGGAGAGAGGGGGAAGGCACTAATCCACACATAGGGATCCCTGCAGACCACATATTGATTTAATTTTATAGTGTAATATTATCTATGTTTTATTGTATTTTATTAAATATTTCTCAATTACATTTTAATCTAGTTCAGACTATGCCGGGTGTCATGAAGGGGAAGGGTAGGTAAGGGTAAAATGCTGTGCTTTTTTGGACACCTCTGGTCTAGGACACTAAGAGGTTACGTGACTTTTTGGGGAGAGAGGCAATCAGGGTCAAGTGACACAGCTAGTGTCTATGCACTGTGTCACCCTAGCTGTGCCTCCTTTTTTCTAATCCTCTTAAGAAAAGGAAAAAATTCCCTTTGGGAGCCAGGGTCATAATTTACTGAAATAAAGCATTTCCACCATTTTTAAGAATCTGAGCTTTCTCAATCCAAGGACATGTACACACTTTGGGAGACTTTTAAAATACTCTGTTCTTTGAAAGTCAGTCAGGAAATAACTGTGAGACGTATAAAGAATAATCACGGAATTCTTGCTATTCTTAGATGGAAGACTTCTGTCAACATCCCAAGGAAGCATGATTTGGAGGATCTAGGTGACACAGTTAATAGTGTCCTGGGCCTGGAGTCAGGAAGACCTGAGTTCAAATCTGACCTCCAGCACATACTGACCATGTGACACTAATCAAGTCACGACCTCTGCTTGCCTCGGTTTCCTCATCTATAAAATGCTTATAATAATAGCGCCTAGCTCCTGGGGTTGTTGGAGAATCAAACAAGACAATACTTGTCAAGCAGTTAGCAAGGTGCCTGGCACATAGTAAGAGCTATATTAGCTGTTGTTATGATTATTATTTGATTGTTTAGATTATTTTCCACCCAAAGAAATTGTGACCAATATAAGTTCTGAGTACCAAACTATGCAAACTGACAATCTGCATAATTTACCTTCCCCCAGATAATTGCCAATCTTCTATTTTATCTTTTACTGGGCATCATTTAATATTGTTCCATGATTCTCAACCTATGACATGGATAAGAGACTACTAATGTCAACAAGATGGGCTTTTTCACATTGAACAATGTAGGGGGTACTGAAAATGCTACACAGTTTCCCAAGTGTCACCCAGCCTGGCCTCTTCTTCCTTTTTGATTGAAGGTTCAACTCCCTTATCTAGCTGTACCACCTGTCCAAAATCCACCTATCAATGCGCTAGCAACTCAATTTTCTGCCCCTCCATCCGGGTGCCACCACCTAGTAGTATGAGTTTTTTAATCTACTTTTTTTTTTCAAATGCAGTAATGTATGCAAAACTCTTTGCAAACCTTAAAGCATTATATAAAGTGAGCTATTATTATTACTATTACCTCTTATTTTTATTTTCAGTGTGGAAGGTTAAAACACTCTCTTGGACTGGAGGGCCTCTAAGATCCTTTCCTGCTCAATGAATCTACAATCTTTCAAATGATTATTGCTTTGCCTGGTGAAGAATGCAGGATAGAATCTCAGACTTGAGGCAGTCAGAATGCAGTCTGGGAATAGAAGCTTTGGAGAAATTTGCTATCCGTGAGGAAGCTTTCTGTTTCAACATTTCAACTCAGCACATGTCATTCTTTGTGACCTTTCCTCTGTTGTCTCTCAGTCTTGAACAGCCCCATACTTTTTTCCAGTAATACATGTCCTTGATAATGTCTTTTAACATCATATTACATTCAGATCAATACCTTAGATGAGCTTGCATTTCTGTTTTATGACTTGGTGGAGTCCAACCAGTTATCTCCACCCTTGTGTCTGCTCATAGAATCTTGTATTATTTTAACTTTGCTTGGTGGGCACCGTTTTTGAGGAAAGCAGCATTTTGCCAGCTAATTTAAATGTTTATTTAAAAAAAAACAACAACAACAATAAAGAATAGGATTTAGTGGCATCTTATAATCATTTCATTTTGAAGGCAGTCTTGTGATTGTAAAGATGTCACTTGTTGGAGAAAATCCTGCCCATTTTATGCCAGTAGAACATCCAAATACCAGAAGAATCAAAATGGGTGGTGACTCAAAGAGCAGTGAAAAGAAACACAGTGGATTTAAGTAAGCTACAGCATAAGACCAACAATAATTTGTGCTGGTGACAAAAAGAGTCATCAAAAAGACATGCTTGGGGGGGTTTTTTGTTTGTTTTGGGGAGGTTTGCGGTAGCAAAACACTGGAAACAAAGCATACATCTATCAATTGGAAAATGGCTAAATAAATTATGGTACATGAAAGGATGTAATTGAATATTGCATTATAAGAAATGACAAATATGATGAATTCAGAGAAGCATGGAAAGATTTCATGATCTGATGTAAAGTGAAGTAAGTAGAGGCAAGAAAATCTAGAAATGATCATAGGCAATGAAATAGAGAGAACAATCATAAAACAACAGAGATTAAATGTTACAAAATTATAATGATTATGCAAGCATGGCAGCTGGGTGGCATAGAGGATAGAGTACACAGGAAGACTCATCTTCCTGAGTTCAGATCTGGCCCCAGACACTTACTAGCTGTATGACCCTGGGCAAGTCCCTTCACCCTGTTTGCCTCAGTTCTTCATCTGTCAAAAAAAAATTACCCAGAGAAGGAAACAGCAAAACTACTCCAATATATTTGCCAAGAAAACCCCAAAATGGGTTTGTGAAGAATTAGACATGACTTCAAATGACAAAATAACAACAATAAAGGAGGCATAGCTACAAGGAAGAGAAATGAGAAGATACCTCCAACCCCATTCTTTTCAGGGGGCAGAAGGTCCATAGGTATGGTAGAGTGAACATATTTCCAGACTTTTTCAGTGTATTAATCAGTTTTGCTGATCTTTTTTTAATTCCTTCTTCCTCTTTTTATTTAAAAGTGTTTATATCAGTTGGCTCTTGAGGAGGTGGGAAAGCAAGAAATACTGGAAAGAATTCTGGTGATATTTAAAAAAAAAGATCTAAAAAAATTTTTTTCCAAAAAGAAAGGATATGTTTGTTTGACTGGAAAAGGAGGTACAAGGAGAGTGAGGTACAATAGGTAAAAGATAGTATAGTATTGGTATCCTTGAGACATTAGAAGCACCATAAGAAGGTCTGAAATCCATTGGGGGGGGGCAGCTCGGTGGCGCAGTGGATAGAGCACCGGCCCTGAAGTCAGGAGGACCTGAGTTCAAATTTGGCCTCAGACCAAACACTTGCCACTTACTAGCTGTGTGACCCTGGTCAAGTCACTTAACCCCAATTGCCTTAAAAAAAAAAAAGGAAAGAAAGGTCAGACCATAGAATCTTTCTTTGACGACAAAGAAGATCAAAACATACAACCAGAAAAAGACAACAGAGTTAAAGCAGTGCTCTAATTGAAGCTTCATTTCTATGGGCCAAGGTCTGATCTTTTGTGTAGAGAAGTAATCTCTATGCAAGTACAATTTTCGTCCCCAAATTAACAGTTTATTTACACTGCCACAATTCACAAGA